ATCGGGCAGTTCCGCTATCCTGACGGTTGTTCCGAAGACGCGTGCCAGTCCGTGGCACAATGGGAGTACGTGCCGGACACGGACGAAATTAAATTTAACATCGTCACCACTCTAACAGGGGATGAACGGCTAGTTCACCCCTGTGGGCGAACAGAAACGGAAACTGAACGCCAATACTGCACACTTTATCTCTCTCTCACACAACACATCAAAGGCCACCGCAGCACCTTGCTGCGGGGCAAAAACGGAAAAAGCATACAGCTCAGACGACGAAATCCAGCAACTGAAGAATCTACCAGATTTAGAATCTGGCAGATCGAGAAAAACACCAGCAAAAACAGCAAAACAACCTAGCAGCCGCCTGTGCGCGGGTGAACGGAGAGGCCACTCCTCCTCACACCACCATGTCGACAAATGGACCGGCATCAGTTTCAGTGACAGGCTATTTATGGTGCGCCTCAGTTTGCCGACACTTCTATGTTGTCATCTTAGATTTTTGTCGAAAACGAAATTGAAGTCTACCCAAACCTTATAAATAATCCTTGAATGTAACCACCGTGTTCACGGAATGACAAAGAATATACAACACAGTGGATGATGTTCTTTCGTAGCCATCTGCCGACATGTTCTACGGGTGGGTCAAGGAGGGCGGCAAAGGTATGCTGATCGATGCCAAGTCGCCAGCCGGTCACCGGCAGCCGGTACGCTACATAATCCAGGACGGGAAGAACGTCACTGCTCGGCGCAGCGAACGCTTTGCTGCGTTATCCTTTAGGCGGCGGCGGTTGAGGATAAGAATGACTTCCAGTTCACCGATGACGCCTGTGCCCACATGCTGTCCCCGGTGAATGGCGACGACTTCAGTGCCGACACCCTCATGATTAGCAAACATGAAGCGGTTCCGCTGGTCAGTCTCAGACACGAGTCTGCATCACGTCTGGCTGTCGCACTACCTGAGCAAAAGCCTGACGGAACTGCCGATAAGCGAAAGATGCAAAACAGATTTCGGTGTTTACAATTTTTTTGATGCCATGCCCGGGCAACGGCAATAGATTTAAATGCGATTACGATACGTTTTTCGAAAAAACTGCAACGCAGTGTCATTAGTCTCGTGGAAATAGACCGGAAGCCAAATAAACCCATTTTTCAGTACACAATGCAAAATGGCTAGCAATTCGGTCCTCTGCGGAAACGGGCAAACCGCCGACACGTTATATTTTTATACCACCCAGTAGCATATGCCACATAACAAAATGACAATTGCAGCTATATGAATGCTGAAAACTTGTATTTTCATTAAACATTTGAACGCAGTGCAGTTTAGATTTAACTGCATTCTACTCTTCGAATCTGCATTGCATTAATAAATAGGAACTTTAGCCGCTAGATGAAATGGTACCATGAAAACTGACCAACACGCTGCTCGATGTCCTCTGTAATGTTTACGACGCCCGGCAGGGGGCAGCGGCCGTATCTAAAAAAAAGAGGTGCAACTTTACCTTGCGGTTCGGTAACCGTCGGCTAAAAATTGAAGCAGACCGTAGCCTGTAGGTAAGTGATAAACACCTTTCACACGATAAATAAGCTATCATACAAATGTCGAGTAATACTATAATACTATAATATGTCGAGTAATGCTGTAACATATAATGCGAGCTGCACGTTTCTGTAAATAATTAGCAGGATGGGGGATGATTATTGAAATCGCATCCACGTTCCTGTCCAAGTCTGGCAGATAGGAGGGCAAGCCGTCCACAAACCTGCCAAACCAATCCGTCGGCGTCGATTCTTTTAACAACTGGTTGCTTTCAAGCCCACTGTAAAATCAATGAATGCCGTCACGTTTTCACCGGTAAATTTTTGTTGGTCACATTTATTCCCTTTTTCTTGATTCAAGGATCATCCTGCCCCAGTTACTGTAATTCTCTCACGGTCTGAGCTAGGCTTATGCAAGTCGATCAGGTGCCTCAACCGTCAAGACAAGCACCATCAGATCCCAGGCCCGCAGGGTGCAGCAGTCGTGGGTGTAATTCAGCTTATGTTTCGTCTGGCGGACATTTATTGCACATTTTGTTTATTGGTTTTGGCAGAAATGCTTGACGACATAACGCGGTACATAATACAATAATTACTGATCAGGAAATTTCAGAGAGAACTGGTTACTGTACATAATCTGATGCTGAACATTTTAGCACCCGGCTCCGACATTACTAGTCTTTAATGCGCAGCGATTTAGTTTTTTTTTTGTTATTAAAGTAGCTAAAAGGATTTGAATGCTAACCGTTTCCAGTATTTTGGCATGCGTCTCAGATTTATTCCAAATAATTTCTTAATACCGATACAAGTCCTTACCTATAAACATATGCACTTGAACGTCATTCTTGCATGTGTCATATATTTCTCTATCTCGTGTAATGAATTCATCAGCCAACGGTACGGGTACCTTGAATGCCACCTCGCGATTTTCACTGATGTCAGTTTCCTCCGTAACCGTTTGGGCGGCAACATATCTCCCACTATGCTACTGCGGCGCAATCATTAATGCGCTGTTGGCCGGATTAATTTCTTCAAACGGGCGACTGCGCTCCGGATGTGGCCTCTTGATCGCTCATTATTTAGCCTCGCACAGTGCACTATGCGCTGTTTCTTATCCAATCACTGCGATCAACGTGTACCGTAAAGTAGCGACCGCTGTCCAAATCGATCCCCAATTCTGCGGACCAAGCATGGCAGTGCAAATGACCTTACGGTACGCGGCCAACTGGATCGATACGTATATCGCTGTGAACCGCGTCGTGGCGATCTGCTACCCGTATCAGTACCGGCGTTTTTCCGCGCGGAATTTGGAGAAATTCATTCTTACGGGGTTATGGATCGCTGTTGCGTGCCTAGCAAGCCTTGGGTGGCTGGGTTTCGGCGTCCAATATCCGCTGGTACCTTCAGGCGGCTGCGCCATCATGCAGAAAGATGTGTTTGGTTTGCTGATCTTTGTAGCAGGTTATTACTGTCCGCTGGTGTTGGCGGGTGTGGGTTATGGTATGATTTATATAAGATTTATAATTCGCCGAAGAAAGAAGGACACAGCGGTGGAGGATTCGCGTCAAGGACCGGAAACAGCGGTCGAATACCGGCGAACGAGAAAGGCCAATATGGTATTTGCTGCGTTCCTGGTGAATTTGGTCGGGTATCTGGTATTTCCGGTTAGTTTGGCAGTTGCACCGGGTACACTGTTCCTTCGTCCGTTGGTAACGTGGTGGTTGGGCTCGGTGCAGATGTTTGGCTACGTTACAAACCCGGTAAGACCTTGAGAGAGCGGATCATGCCCTCAGGTTCAAAATTTATGGAGGGAATTGTATATTATCAACACAATAAATTTGGAAGTGAACCTTTGTATTCGATAAATTATTACACAAATTTTTAGGTGACGTTTTTCCTCATGAGCTCGGAATACCGATCGGAATTAGCGAGCCTATGTCGCCGATTGTGGAATGGAATGTTGGGTCGGCAAACGCAATCAGGTAATGGACAGCGGCCGGTACGCTCGGGAAGCCTTTCGCTATCTGTGCATGCGGCGGGAATAAAATTAGCGCCACTGCCATCAACTAGTACCGACGTCGTTATTAATCAGGAGTCGAAGGTCTAATCGTAAACGGAACCATAAACACCTGGACACCCGTTGTAAATAGCGGTTTTGAGAATTCAAAACTATCCTATAATTCTGTTATTTCTCCATAAATTAAATGCTTTTTGTAGAGATAAGTATCGGTTAGCAATCGAAATTCATTCGATGTTTTTCTCTGTCTATGCGCGAACTGAAGAAATAATCTGAATTTAAATGATGGCGTCAGCGAACAGAAATTAGCAGGTGGCGCTGACTACGAAACAAGTTCTGGTCTTGACCGGTGCCATTATTTTCGCCCTTGATGGTTCCCGGTAGCAGGAACGCTGGCGATAACTGCAGCTGTTAATCGCTTTTCCAATTCATTGCACTCAAAAAGAAGGAAGAAAGAAAAAGCACAAAAAAGGAGAAAACTAGAAACGGGAGGAAAAAACAGAACTAGAAAATTTAGAACATTTGACTACCGTATGCTTAGCGGCACTGAGTACTCGAGGAAGAATGATCCTGACCATATTCTATTATTTTCAACATTTCACAATTGTTCTATTTAGTATTTACAACACATACATATTAGGACAAGCGTCGCTCACAAAAATACATTCAGATAAAAATCTGTGTTATGCCATGTAGTCGCTAAAATTCTCTACATTGAAGTATACGTTTTAGCCTTCACAGAGATTACAGAACAGCTTTGTTGAAAACCCTCATGGAGTATTATTAATATTCTACACGTGACGGAAGCTAGCGCTGACACTACATCTGTTTGGCTCCGGTAACGTCAAAGCTTAACATACCGCTTTTACCGCTTTACTTACCGTCGACTGGTCACACAAGACAGATAAATATCGATTAACGAGTAAAACATGAACAGACTGCCGATAGATCGTATATGATCCTGCCCGTACAACCAATCCAAGTATACCACCTTTTCGATGTTAGGACTTGCTGGGCAGTATTTTTGTGCACATATGTATGGACAGCGTTAAACTGCTCAGTCTTGTTAGGTAGGCTTATGAATAATTGAATAATGTTTAAACAGAAGAACCCCTTAATGGACGTTTTTACGGCTGTGTAATTTCTTTTCAATGCGTGGTCACGGAGTAACCGGTGGTTGCTTTTTTTCAGCGATTTGGTGTAACTTCCGGGACCAAAAACAGACGATAATTTGCAAATGACAACGCACAAGAAAATCAGAAGAGTAACTGATTGCCCACAATCATTCATGACGAAACTGTTTGCAACATGCATGCAGAAATTAGGTTGTTTACCGGTAAGTGATGACACAGCTCAGCCGAACACGCGGAATACCGCCCGCGGCACGATTAACATATTAGCGTGAACAGATGCAGACAACTCGCGTCGCGCAACTATACCTAACAACGCGACATTTACACGGTAAGCTCATGTTCCATCGAAAAGTATGCAGTGCCGTCGCATCATTCTTATTCTTCTGATCGATGTCTTTATCCCCGGTCAAATGCATCTGGTTTTCGCCAGTGGTCCGGAGTTATCCGACACAGCTAATAAGCTTAGTCAACCGCCCACGTCAGTAGTGTCGGCCCCGGAAACGGTTGGCGTGCGGGCGATTGCGCCGCCTATTAGGGGAAGTACTGCTGGCGTTGCACCGGCAAATTCCACCCGGAATGCGCCAGCGTTGACTATGAGTGATTTTGACCAGGGAGAGCTGAGAAAAGATCCGCTGTGTGGGGAAAACTTCCGCTTCCCCTACGGCTGCGAGGACGAAGAGTGTCTGTATATGGCCACATGGCGGCCGGGCAATAATGCCGACGAAGTGGAGTTTATCATCGAGACCGGAACACCAGATCTCTGGACCGGGATTGGCTTCGGTGATGAACGGCAAATGGTAAGTATGTAGGCTGCCTGATATTGCTTCAGCACGGAACTTAGAACATCCAAAGGTGCTAGCGAAACTTGGAGGTGAGATTGTAGTTTCCCCTTATATTTCGGAAAACTTTATGTGATGCGCTTAATGTGATGTGGACATGCGCCTTTTGTTCAATTCAGTTTATTATATTAGAGTTGATTTAACAGTCTTAACCAGTTTGTACATCCGAGTGCACAAGTGAATCAATGAGCACGACAGTCATGTTTTAACGCTCAGTTTATGACTTTATGTGCTAATCAACGACGAAGTGTTCATCGACTTTAAGGTGCATCGTATAAGAGGCAGATGTGCGATGGGACACGCTGTTGTTCTAAAAATAATTATAAAAGCCTGAAAAACTATAGGGAAACAAAGCCCTTCTGAATCTTTATTTTCTTCGCGTACTGCTATAAAGCAATATTTACAAGAGATACTGGACCTGAAGAAATTTGCAACAACACTACAAGATGATGTTCTTAAGCACTGCAAAGTACAATCTACTCTGTACAATAATTTGTTGATGAACAGTTGAGAAATCAAATCAATTTCTTGAAAAGGTCGACTCGGACATTATCTACGGTTTTATCCGGTCGAACGGGATACCAAAGATGATAGACGCCTACGCCAAGGATTATACGGCACCGGCCAGGGACTGGGACAATAACATCCGCATCATCGAGGGGGGCCGGCGTGGCGACCGAGCATTTTTTCACTTTGCCCGCAAACTGGCGACCGGCGACAAATACGATTACGAGTTCGGCCCCGGCCGCTGCCCCTACTTTAAGTTCCCTGTCATGGGTTCCACCTTCACCGAATCCGCTGTTACCGGGCTGATCAAGCAGCACCGGCGGACGCCCATCATCAGTTCAATAAAGATCTGCATTGGCAGCTGCACTGCCGAGCAAATTGCCGCCCTGCGAAATACTACGACGGTAGCTTCCACGACAGCCACCGTTCCCACAAGTGTGTACCGTGCGAATTACAGTACCTTTGGTGTTCCTCAGAAATTGCAAACGTTATATACTAAACCTCAGCATTTCTTTGATCGAGCAAATGCTGTTGAAAAAGCTACAAGTTTTGATATAGTTAATCAAATACAAAAAGCAACAAAAGTAAGTTTAATTTTGATGGGCAGGCCAGTATATGGTACATGCAAGCGACTGCAAGTGATGAGCGTGTAGTTCACTGTCCAAGCATTTATAGTAGCCCCAGTCGTCTGTTTTATATTGCAGCGGTTGCCGCCAATCAAATGTTCTCCGCCGCCGCTTTGCACGGCACCAAAGCGGCCGGTGCAGGCGGCAGCTCCAGCTCAGAGAAAGTGCTGACCTGCATGGGAGAGTTCCGCTATCCTCACAACTGCTCGGAAGAGAATTGCCAGTACATGGCTCAATGGGACTACGTACCGGAAACGGACGAAATTAAATTTAACATTGTAACCACAGTTGTCGACAAATGGACCGGTATCGGCTTCAACGATAAGCCATTCATGGTACGTCTAACGTTACAGGTATCTTTCCGTTGTGAACTCCTGCTTTTTGAAAAAAAAACATTCTGATCCAACTGAATCGAACTAATGCTGTTACCAAATCGAAATAATACTGCTTACGATGAACTGTACAAACAAGTGCAAGTAATACGCATATAACACCGTAAATATTGCTCTGATGCAGCCATCGGCCGACTTGTTCTATGGATGGGTGGACGAGGGCGGCAGGGGGATGCTGATCGATGGCAAAGCGCCGGACGGCCACCTGCAGCCGGTACGCGACGTAATCCAGGACGGGAAGAATCTCACTGCCCTGCGCAGCGAGCGCTTTATGGCGCTGTCCTTCCATCGCCGGCGACTGACCGCCGACAAAAACGACTTCCAGTTCACCGGTGACGCTTGCGCCTACATGCTGTTCCCCGTGAGGGGCGGCGCTTTCAATGCCGACACTCTCAGAATCAGCATACACGAGGCAGTTCCGCGGGTCAGTCAGACACAAGTCTGCATCACGTCGCAGTGCGCGGACGTAATGGCCGCAACAGGTGGGTGTGCATCACGATCACTGCTAATGGTTATATTTTTGTTCAACCCGTCCGTGTTAAAGATATAATCCTAATATCTAATAGCCTCTTTCAAGTCCAGTCAAAGACCTTACATTCTGCTATTATCGTCACTGCGCCAGTTCGTTAGCAATGAACCTTTTATTTTATTTATTTATTTATCCCCGAGTATGGCAAACGTGGAGCACGGGTGCCTTTATTCGCTCTGTAGTATTATCAAGCCTAGTTAAATTCTTAATTTTACTAAAAATTCGAACAGTACAAAACATCAGCTAAGGCTGCTAAGCGATTTTGGATCGCTTAATTGGCATTTCGGTGAAATTAAAAAAATCTTGCTAATCGTAAGCAGAGCTTATGCTATTCAAAATGCCCGTTTTCTGCTGCAAAGTTTCCCATTATCGACTTTTACACTACGATTCTTGTCGGTGATTGTAATAACTGTATAGCGTTTTGTCAGCAGATGTTCACAAACCGTCTGAGAAACAAATCCGTACAGACGTTTCAGCGGGACAAAATCCCAGCGCCACGCTTCGACCGGCCGCGACACCGGAAAGCACTACCATAAACATCCGTAAGTGCGTCGAAAGTACACATGTCACGTCAAACTAGCGTTACAGTTACTCCCGGTGGTGTGATAATCATTACTGCTCTAAAAATTCTAAAACCCGGAAGAAGGAAATCAGTGATCATTAGTCGTTTCGAACATCAACACAGACATCAGTGTTTAAATGAAAAGTGGGCGTGGTTCTAGCAAGTTATCTGCCGTGTGAGGGCACTTGGAAATATCCAGACAACTGCGATGAGCCCAACTGCATCTACGTGGCTTCATGGAGTTTCTTGGACGACGCAGACGCAATCCGCTTCGTGGTCAAGGCCAAAGCAGCCGGCTGGACCGGCATCGGCTTCAACGACGACAAGGCCATGGTCAGTGCAACTAAATGCTATTTGACACGCTCAATGTTCGAACTCAATCCATTTTAAGAAACTTATACAAACCCATACGCGTACAACATTTTATTATTATTAAAAGAAACTTCGTGATGAATAGTTGAACGTTTAAGTTTAAGCAAGTAACTAATGGCCTAAGTCAGCCGTTGCGCTCGTCACTTCCCAAATTCGATTCCTGCTCGCAGTTCGTATGAGTGCTTTGCAACCTCTTGGCCGTAGCAAAAACCATTTCACTGCAATTACTGGTAATTGATATCAATGATATGCAACAGGTCAACTGCCACTGCTGTTTCTTATTACAGAAAAACGCTGACGCCGTCATTGGATGGATAACGGCAAAGAATACGGTGGTCGTCACTGACCGGCACTGCGTGGACAACCGGGCCGCGCCAATGGATGAGGAGCAGGACCCCTTCGATATTTCCGGTCGACGAGAGGTAATAGTTCCGCCGGCGCTGTCACAAAACAGACACAGAAAAATAAAAAACAATCAAAAAATTTATTAACTGAGTTAGATCTATTCGTGTTATATGGAACTTTTGGAATGGAACTATATGGTGTTATATGGAACTATATGGTGTTATATGGATATTTTTCTGCTCAGGATGGCTACCAAGTAATCGAATTCACCCGCAAACGCGACACTGCTGACCCTAACGGCCAAGACTACGCATTCAGGGATGAGAAGTGCCCGTACTTCATTTTCCCCGTAGTGGGCGGTGCGTACGATCAGTATGGTGGAATCCAATGGCATAGCCAGAAACTCCTGCCCAAGATCAGCTCGGGGCGCGTCTGCGTGCGCAGTTGCAGTGTGGATCAGGCGCGTTTCATGGTGGTCACGGTGCGTATTGTCGACCGCACCTGGACGCCGGAGATGATTTCGGACAGTAGTGCGGACTTCATGAACCTGGAGGCGGAAGTCAAAGCGTCTATTGGGAAGCTGCTGGGCAAAACACCGGGTTTCCGGAGGACGCGGCTACTGAGTTTGCGCCCGGATGGCGGTGTCGTCGTCGCGGTGGAGATCATCATCGATCCCACGGCCAATCAGACTTCAGCGGCCGCCGCCAAAACCACACGGGAGATCCTACAGAGCACCGTCAGAACACGACATCAGCTGGGAACATCTTCGTTCACTGTTGACCCCGACAGTCTCGACATTTCCCGCGCAGAACGTAAGCGCAACTGAATCCCTTAGCTGAGTACAACCGGCTTAATAAACTGCTGTTCTACTTTCTGAATGATCAATAAGCTCAAATCTACGTAGAGATAAAGCTTAAAGCTTAAAGCAAATCTACCGGTAGACATATCAGATACCACTACCGGGGAGCTTTTGCATTGCCTAATTAAATACAGCTAAAGCAACTCTGACCGAGAAGCGTTAGAGTGATTAAATTTAGCTGTTTCCAGCAAGGGCAAACTTGTGGCGATTAAAATATAATGTGTTGCATTGTATTCAAATTGCTCGGAGTCATTAGAAGTCTCATAAATTAAGGCTTTTAATAGAAAAGATTTTGAAATCATATAGAAAGACAATAAACACATTGAAAATCTTGAATGACAAACAATAAAAATACGAATTTTTAAACATGAAGCTACTGATTTTGATACTGAGACCTGTGGGCGCTCGAGTTCGATTGACTCTGTAGCAGAAACAAGAACCCCCACTCCCCAGTGTGTAAAATCTTTCCCACGAAACCGAGAACAGCCATTTCCTTTGCGGCAGTGGAACACAAGGCGCGTAAAACCGTCCATAAAGAACTATGTTCTTAACTTCTTACACCAATCACATAATACTTTGTTTGAACTTTCAGCGTTACTAACATAATGTTGATTGGTGCTGCAGCCTTGTTCATGGACGGGTTTCCGACTGCTGCCTCGGACACCACCACCGTGATGATGAGCGACAAGGCTCTCGAGTCGGATGGGCGCACAAGCGCCATTATTGGCGGCGTTTGCGGAGCCATTATTATCATGTTGCTGTTGGCGCTCGGGACATTGTGGTATGTCCGCAAATCCCGCATTCAGCGCCTCCGAGATAGCGTTCTCACCTTGTTTGCCTTTTGGCGAGCGCGAGCGGACACGGTTGCGCTGGTCCCTGTACAGCCTGTCAACGCTGTTGTGCTCAATGGGGAACTGGCAGCGGAAAGGAGGAATTCGCGTGTTAGTGAGCTGGTAACGGAAGCTGAGCATCACAACAATGAGCTGCAACGCTGATTTGAGTCCTTGGATTTGTCAGCGTAAAGTTGCTTTTTTCCCTTTTTGTGTGATAGCTACGAGGTTGTTCGCGGCTTTATCTATCCGGCATACCTGCAATCAGGGTTAGGTATTTGCCTCGTTGACACATTTTACGGAGGAATTAAACTGTCGGTACCAACATGATAAAGCTTATTGTCATGACAAAAAATGCCTTGAGTTTTTGCACTAGTGCATTAAAGCAAAAAACGTATGCATAGTAAAACAGCGTAACAAAATTAGTGGGAAATTGTTAAGTTAAAGCAAAAAGTGTCCCAAGCCTACTGTAAACGACAACTAACTATATGGACTACCATTGATAGCTGATCATTGATCAAGATTTTGTAACCATGCGCTAGGGGCGCCTGGTCTGTGGTCATACAGCTATCTGGTTTTTTTTCTCCTAGCTCAACAGCGATAGCGCTTCGAAAGCGAGAAACATCGAAGTATGGGTAACTACTCCACTGATTAACGAAGCCAATAAAAAATTAACTGTATAAAACCAGAATCTGTTAATCGTTTAGAGTGAGACAACACAGTTCACTTCAAATGCATCGAAACGGTTAATAAAGGACGTTTCGCCCTATTTGACAACATAACAATAATTTCGAGCTTTCTTGTGCTGGTGATATTAACCGTTTAATAGTAGAAGTATCTTATGGAGAGAAGGAGCGACCGCAAAATAAAAGTATTATTAAATTTTGTTCATCCATATGTGGAGTATTTTCTATGGAATCCGTCACTGCTGTGCACAAATTATAGACTGTTTGCAAGCCTGATAAGCCGGTCAACTGCACAAACATTCTGGCATTACTGTAATGAGAGCAAATATCGAACAACAACATCAGATTATTTACGAAAAACCGAGGTTTTTCTGTAGCCGGCAGCAATCATTTAATATACGATCGAAAATGTTTTTGAAAACCGCACGTAAAGAATGCACTTTGCCGGTAGCGCGGCTTGATATATTTATTTGGCATTTCGTCTGATAAAAATAATTCACGAGTTTTGCTTGTTGACCAAATCTTTAACAGCCAATCCAGAAATACTGGCAACGTGTTTTGATTTCGTTGTGATATCCCTCATTCCAATCATGTCGAAGCTGCGTCCACTGTTGACTGCAACGGTAGTGGGTATGCTGCTGCCGTATCCTCCAGGTACCTAGTGGGCATGTCGTATTTCTAGATAGCGATATGTTTCTGAAGTAACCCGTAGAAACCCTTACATTCTGATCTATCCGCTGAGAAGTTTGGAATTACATCTTCCAAACTGCTTCTGAAAAGTGTAAACTGTTGCCAGGATTTTGTCAATTTGGTGTACAAACGGTTCGAGCTTGCAACATCAGGTTGGAGAGAATACTGGTGGCATAGTGTTCTGAAAAAATCGAATTGAGGCACCAAATCTCTCGTTATCGACGGATGCTCCAAATTTTGCACCTAAAATTAAAGCTCTATCATTTGCTAAAATTTTAAAAGGATATCAACGAAGTACAAGTGAATTTTACAAATTTCGGAGCAGAAGGAAAAAGCCAGTTTGGTTTACAACCAATTATTACATGAAAATAAAGCTCAAGAATTTTTGACAAAGTGCAAAATCTATTTATATGAAATAATTAAAACTTATTTTAAAATCTGACAACTTTCGAAATTAATGAGCGTTTACTCTGCACATGCGAATTGCATAAATTACGAAAAAAACTTTCTGCACCCGTTTGCGTATCTTTTGCGTAATTGTATTCGTCAGCATCACCGGATGTTGCAGTTGCAGTTCGATCAAACTCCAACTTCAAAGAATCTTCTTATCATAGATGCAAGAACCTTCTCAAAAAAGCTGCTAGGAAAGCGGCAAGGCTTTTCCGAACCGACATTAATGTTGTAGTTTCATTTTTTCGTAACGGCTGACTGATTTTGTCGTCCCATGCTGCATCTGCCCCTCGATTCTAACACTCCTCGGTTTGTAGCCGATGCCTGTCCCCACAATGTTGCCTGGGTGTGCGGCGCGGACGGAAAGTCGTACGTCAACGAATGCTCTGCAAAAGAAGCCGGTAATAATCAAAATGTCTTTGCGATGGCTCTTCAGCATTAATTAAACAAATCTAAAAGCATAATGAACAATAAAGATCTGTCTTCGAGCACCGACGACTTGCTTGACCTTTTCCGCTGTAGGAGTCAAAATTGTTCATCAGGGAAAATGTTCAAAGGATGGAAATAACAAATCCGGTGGTGGCCATAACCAGGCTGCTTGACTCCATGCCACCCAAGAGCATGTACTTTTTAAAACTGTAAGATTAGTGTTAAAATGTTCATGGTGTTCTGACTTGGGAAATTGAGTTATGGTCTGTTATTATTGATTTTATTTTTATTTTATTATTTATTATTTTAACCTGGTTGGCATCGGTCGCTGAATACCGAACAACTGCCATGCAGAGCCGCCTTTTGCTGTTCCGTCTTGGTGAGCAGCTATCACATCAGCCGGCATGCATAAAAATTAATATGATTAATGTTTTGGAAAATCGCGTTGCTTTTCATAAGGCACAGATCAGTCGACCTGTTGCATTATATCCATTTCTGATAATAACCGTACGTAGTATATTAACTGTTACGTAGCTGAAACTTTATTCTGAGAATTCTGTTCTAAATATTAGGAATAATGGTGCTGGCTTTTATGTATTTGTTACTGAAACTTCCAGTGTACGCTAATGAAACTTCCAGTGCACGCTGTACAATTCCTAATATACGAGTAACTGAAATTCCTGACGTTCTTGGAGCAGTTAACGGTAACAGGTGCCTGCAAATGTGTGCTCACTTGAGCAAAAAAATTTTTGTTATTTTGTAAATGACAAACAACAGCAGTAAGCGCCTTATTACGTGCGCTTTGTTGCATAGCCGTACCAAAAATATTTTTGCGGAATTTACTAGCTCTCGATACTGTACTCTGTAAGTATGTACTCGTACAATCAGTTTACCGCGTAAAGAGCTTGTTAACCTGAAAAACCGGTAAATCTGCAGCAGTTCTTTGCTTTGCTCAAACTATAGACTCTGTACATGCTTCATTAATACAATATTTTGCCACCAGAATTGATATTGCTGTATCATAAAACAGTCAGCGGAAGCAAACATAACCATCAGCTCGTTGTTATTTCTTGGTTAACGGTTGAATGCTTATCCAAAATAGTCCCAACAAGTTTATTTTGATCCGTCAGTCCTTAATTACAGTCCGAAAAAGATGCGCCAAATTCTAGGTGTGGTGATTCTTGGGATTATGCTGGCGTTTCCTCAAGGTACCGTACACAAACGTGTATTGCATTATGGTGTACTGCATTACCGAACAAGCATACAGAAATAGGAACACGGAATTAGATTTCTGAATGTAAAGAAATACTGCGTTTTCTCACCAGTATGGTTTCAGCGGATGCTTGCAACCTGAATATCAGCCCAGTGTGTGGTGTGGATGGGAAGACATACAAGAACGAATGTTTTGCTAAGTCGGCGGGTAGGAATGGTTTTTTTAGGGTTATGTAATCAGCGGTAATTTACGGATTTATAAAACCTGGATATAATGACCATTATGACTGCTGCATTGCAGGAGCCAAAATTGCTCATAAGGGCAATTGTTCCGGTGGGTGCGACCATGAAAAATCCGCTTGACTTCGGTCCACAATTATTCAACTGTGAAAAAGTGGAAGTTGAACGAAAAGAGCGGAGTTGTACCATTCCTTGTTTTGTCCGATAAAACAGGCTTCGCTTCCGTGATTGTTTATGATAGTTGTATCTTGTGGGCCTTGTGGCTCGAGTAACATTTTATGACAAAATGCGGATGTTTTATATTCCATTTTGTCCTTTCATGGAAAACCCTAAGAACATGTTGTTAATTATTCATAATTGGGTGCTTATTACCATGAGGGTTCAAGACGATTGAACAACAACTAATTGCATTGAAATTCGTTTGCAGCATGTTTTCATGTCCGATCAATGATAGCCAAAATTGCTCACCTAGGAAAATTTTCCGATCCATGCAAAAGCCTGTAAAATGTCAGTTATGCGTGTTTTTCGGCATTTGAATTTGGTGAAATTAATTTCGGTCACCTGTAAACTTGGTTTTGGTCGGTTGTACACTGCAATTACAATTTTTTCAATGCGTATCGCATGACCGTTTAGTATACACCTGTAGTTGCATCCCTGTGTTCAGTGTCAAATTCAATGCACATTTTTTGCCAGTCTCCAGTCACGAAAAATTATAACAATTATAGGTCAGAAAATTTAAATGCCACGCAGTTATTTTCGAGTATCATACCCTGAAATGACGAAACCACTAATACAAGAAAGGTCGAAATATACACATTATTGCGAAAAATGCATTCGTAACAGACAAACAAGAACTACGACTAGCATGCTGCAATCGTGCTGTTGCAAAACCCGTTCGCATAATATTTTTATAAGGAACTTACCATTTCGGAATGTGCAACTAGCTCAGTGGGTGAACTTTGTTGACTTGCACAACCATAGGCGTCAAATGTGAGTAGAAATTCTACTAATTACACGATAGTGGTTAAGATAATACTTTGCTGTGATAGTAATATTTGTATAATCGCTGTGAATTGACAGTTTGTGCATTGAAGCAGTGCTTACAAACGAACTGCAGTTGTTTTATATTTATCCATTTGCAGCGTTAAAAAAATTTGTACAATTCTAATTTCCAAGTTTATGTTTATTGTAGTTGTGAATTATTTTGAATAGATACGATGAACCTTTTCTTGATGGCTGTGATTACTGGGATGCTGCTAGCGTTTCCTCAAGGTGCCGCATTGCGTTATGTACCTCATTTTTTACAAGCGCTGAATAGTCTATCGTTTTTGAGTTTTATTTCTGGATGTTCTAAATTTTGAGTATTATTGTTACCGTTGCAGCCGACGCCTGTAACCAAGACATATTAGCTGGGTTTGTGGCGCAAACGGGAAAGAATACCGCAATGAATGTCAAGCCAAAGAAGCGGGTAAGAATAGCTTCTATTGCGCTCACTACAGACCTGTAAACGAGCGGTAATTTCTGCTTTTATTTCGCCATGTTAAATCGTTGTTTTGCCTGCTTGGAAGGGGTCCGAGTTATGGAAAAAGGCAAAATTAATGTTTTATACGAGGACCCTGATAAACCCGCTTGACTCTATTCCACCATGTAATACTGGAAAAGCGCAGCAGCGGTTTACCGCTTCTGGCGTGTTATCATATAACGAACTTTGCACCGCTTTTCTTTGTTTATAAGTGTACGTTTTCATCGGCAGCTACGCTGTTTAAAAATGCCAGGGCACTTTTAGTAAGGAAGAACACGTTTTAATTTAATCTGAAGTCTCCTGAATGTGGTTTTAGCGCAGACTGTCTTAGAAGTCTCTTGAATGCGGTTTTAGCACGGACTGTCTTAGAAGTCATTTTCTTCGTGCCAAAAAAAAGATCAGCCGATAAGATGAGCTTTGGTGCACGACAATTCGACCAAAATTTTATCGTTTCGACAAAGATTTTGCCGGTCGCTTATCTTTCCTGCAAATAGACGGCCAACGTGTGGCTTGCAAATAGAGGAAATTTATATTTCGCTGTAGACGTGTTCGCTTGCTAACACGACGATAACGAACAACTGTGCCGCTTTTAGTAATAATTACGAGAGTTATACCGTAAAGTTTACTTCGTCCATCTAGCATTGTAAAAGCGCGTTTTCATCAGCATTCTAAAAAAGAGCGTGTCATCCGCTCGAGCACAACCATTCATAAATGGGCGTTACCTTCTTCAGCGTTGCCATCACCGACGATGTGATCGCGACAGTATCCGAGACGCCACATTATGCAGTTGTTTAGCTGGTCAGTTTTGCAACGCGTGGATAGCTGAACTCACTTCACCCTGCCACGTCGGCTCGCGCCGCCTTTCTGCCACACCACCAACTACCAACAAAGCAATTTTAATAGCTGCAAGCTGTTATAAACCGCTTACTCATTTGTCAAGCCGTTAACCGGCAAGTCTTCTTGAATGCAAGCTGGACAAGACGGAACGTGTAAGTTCGAAAATTCTGTTGATCTTGCAGTTAATCAGAAGCGGTGATCTATTAGACTTTCTCTATCTTTCCGTTTCAAAAATGGCGCACTGGATCATGACAGGTTTTATAGTGGCGATACTGCTGCAGCTTTCTCAAGGTAAGTTTCTTGCACTTAACCGCGCCAGTGGATTAGTTTAATTTTTCTCTCATGCTACAATAATTTATCGTGAATTTGCGCCGTCGTGTTAAAGTAATATCCCAAATTGCGCGTTGCAGTCGATGGTTGCAGCCAAGGCGGTTCCCCGGTGTGCGGTGTGGATGGTAACACTTACGGAAATACATGTCTGGCAAAGGAAGCCCGTAAGTACCAATTTACGTTACATTTCACGAGAAGCTGTTAATTTTTATCTTTTTTGGAAATGAAGATTAAACATAACCGTTTGACATTGAATATTCTTGCAGGAGTCAAAGTTATCCATAAGGGAAGATGCTCTGATGGGGATCACAATAAAGACCGACCCGTGCAGTTTTCACGCAGTCTGTCATAATATTCTGTTAAGTCACTGACGTTTTTTTCTTTTCTAGTAACGTTGTGTGCTTGAGTACTAATCGTTTTTTTTGTTAGTTCAACAGACACAAAACGAAATTGTGCTGCGCCAAACTGGAATATAAAACGTTTTTCTGAACCTGCGGGAATTTTCCGGCCAGGCATCTTTTCCTGTTCTGTTAGAATTTACCATAGAAGTAGTAGCAATAAAAAGTCTGAAATGATACGTGCAGGCCTTTGCGAGAAGCTTTTCTCCATACACGTACTGGTTTAAGGTAAGCCACTTGATAGTCTTAAGGTCTTCTGATAACGGGGAGGCGTCCGTAACAGCTCAGAACATCAGAATAAAGCACTTGTATGCTTTGCAAATGGTGTTTCATTGGGTCCTGAAGTCCTGGGAACAGAACCAGCTTCTGCTCGAAAATTATTCGAAAACCAGACGGTTTTCGAACCAGTGCCCTGCACTGGTTGTTCCGGGGAGGTGTGTGCCTCCGAATATCGAGGTTGAGATGCAGTGGCGGAAAATGACGCGCAATCTCCTAGACCGCCACTTCGTCGAACAGACTCGACGGTGAACTGGCTAAACCATTTTAGTTTTCTTAGTTTTCTCAGTTTTCTTTGTTTTCTTAGTTCAGTTGATCTGCATCCTGCATGCGGTTTACTTTGGTTTTCTTAAGAGTCGTCACCTTCACCTGGCGCGTCATGGTGAATCAAAAAGCTTGCAATTTTTAATTTTTTTATTGGTTTTGTCTGAATCAATATTTACATGAACGATAGTTATAACGCTCTACGTTTTCTGGGCTTGAAAGCAAACGGCACGTTAGCCCTAGTGGCATATGTGGCGACTTGCAGCTGTGCGCCATGCGTTATTTCGGACTGAGCCGCTTCTAACAGTGCTAGAAGCGCAGCCAGTAAAATTGCCAGCAATTTAAACCGAATACCACGGTGTGGATCTAACCAGTAAATAAATCATACAAACACTGCAGTGACTAAATTGAGTTCATTCAATATTCAATAGCAACAACGATCTTCTTTAGTTCTTGTAATATTATTTCAACCAACTGCTGGTCCAACTTAAGAAGACCCTTTTGGTCCTGTAAATGTGCAGAGAGACCTGATCGGTTGAATAATTCTGTCACGTCATGCTTTGATATTTACTGTGGCCGCATCCGTTGGAGTGATTCAGTTAAACGCTTAGCGGTAAGTGGGACGCTAACTGCTAAACTCGAAATTCGAACCGTTGACAGTAGAAAACAATAGTCATGACGCGATGGTTTTAATTCGTACTGTCGATATGCATCTCCTGCGACCTTTTATTTTTACAACGTAATAACTGACAGAAGTGTCTCGGGGCAACCGTTTTTATTGAAATCAATTTTATTTTCATTGAGCTTTATTGACGGTTTCTAAAATACTTTCCAAGTCAGTTTAATCAATTGCTCGGGTTTTACAACGATACGGACAGTACTTTCATGCTTGTCTATTACCGCTCAAATACGATCGAGCGCTAACGGAGACTTTTCCTTTCAGAAATGTGGAGTCTTTTGAGTTTATTTTGTTAGCACGAAGTATTTATTTTGCGGTTAATCATATTGAAATTCCTTGTGGCGAATGCATTTCATCCAATGATTTTAGCTTAGGTGGTTAACGAATTTATGAGGATGAGCGTTTCAAGAGGCTCTGCAGCGTTTGCATGCTTTTGTACTATAATAAAAATTATTATACTGCAGCGTCCGTATGCGTTTGGACTATTATACTGTACTGATAACTATTTTAACTTTCTTGTAGCATAGTGTGTCTTGAGGCCTGAAAAACCATTTCTATGATTTTCGACGACAGCGTACAAACTACAAAGACTACGAAAGAAACTACCGTACATGAAACTACCGTACATGAAATGACGCTCAAGTGTACATTTTTTCATTTGCGAACAAAACAGATCTCATTCGTTCAATAATGTGATAACATGATGAAAAAGCGAATCTGCCTCTGTCTCGTTCTCAAATAAAACGGTTATCAATGGACTTTGTGATCCCTGGGGACCTTGGGTGCTCCTTTCTGAAAGGCGTTGGTCTCCTTCGAGCACTGATCATAGCAGTCCAACTCCCAATAGATGCTTGTCTTTATGCCACTTCTGATGGTGCAGTCGTCCACTTGCCAGATATATTCGCTATAGTTGGCCCATTTCATTACTGGAAGATCACGCCAGAATTCAGGAACATCCAACGCCCAGTCAACGTCATTGGCTCGGGCACGCGACGGTCCTCCAAGAATGTTCTTCTCAAGGCAGCCGAGGTCCGCTCGTTCCACCAAAATCATGAAGGGATCAGTCAAGCATATCATTTCATCGGCCCAGCGTTTAGTGCAATATTGACCGCCTACAGAAGAAATATCGAAGGTCAACAACGAACGAGTAAATTATTGTCAGTAATGCCGGATTATGTTGGTACGAACTTCGAAACGGCAGCAGTGCCGTATTTACAGATTGCTTCAACATACTGTAGAGTAATGATATAAACAAACCATTCTACTCTACCGAACACTGAACATGTACTTACCAGAAGAGTGGCATGTTGGACAGGGCGTGGTCGTTGTTGTAGGCGTAGTCGTTGTAGTTGTGGTGGTTGTAGAAGTTGTAGTTGGTGTGGTTGGATTCGCCAAAGCAGACATCCGTAACAGCTGCTGCCCGAACTGGAAAAACAACAGCTTCATCGTGTCGCTCCGAAGTCGTGAAATAAATTTTCCCGATGGTGATGTCATTTAACAAATCGCCGTACCACTCCCTTCGAAATACGTTCATGGTTCACCCAATGCAAAATTATTGTCCTTTTACGTAGTAAAGACATAGAGCAAAGTTGTGGCAAAGTGATACTCACGCCGTCCAGTGTGCCTTGGCTTGCACCGTAAAAGTAGCCGTTCTCTTCACCCTGGAACTTGAGTAGAGCCAACGAAAAATTAAGAAACATGTTTAAAGCGAAAACAACACAAAGACAAAAACTGAGACCGCCCATGGTTATAAGTGTGGATCAGTTTTTTAACAACTATCAAATAAAATTATAACATCAATGCACATCCAAATAAACGAACCAGCTCCAAATCGTATGCTTACGTCGATGCTTCATTAGGAGTCCCAATAATTTAAATAAGCGTTCTTTCCTAAACCCAGCGAGAAATCGAGAGAATCTTCGAAACCGTCCGACACGAGTGTGCTAGTTACGAAAGATCAGCAAATTTTCAGCTTAACCACACGAGACATGCTATCATGGAACCGGGCATTCTCGAAAAAAAATAGCGCAACTGAAACAAAGGTCTGCAGCTTTTTAATAACCGGCAACTTGGAAACTTTGCTGCACGGTCAGTTTCCGGCAAACCACTTGTGGCAGCACTAAGCTGTAAACGAGAGAATCTTGGAATAGGCCACCTGGAGTGTATGTTATGAATGTTCAGCAACTTTTTTACCTCTGCCAGTTTCGACATGATACCGGGTAGTCTCGAAAGTTTGAAATAACTAAAAGAGCAGACATCAGCTTTTCTGGAAATAACGACCGCGAAAACACCTCAAAGTGTGATCATTTTCCAGCACAACACTTGTGGCAGCACCCAGTAAACTTGTAATGAGAAGGGTACTAAAACGCCTCGCACAAGTGGCACCACAGCGTTTGCACGCGAGAAATTGATACGCACGCAGCGTGTGAATGCCCATGCGCTCTCCATTGCGCGGGCAGTACACACGCTGCAAGTGCAGATTTCCCGGGCACAAACTCGGTGGTGCCAATTGTGCGAACCGCTACAGTAAGAAGCCGGTTTCATGGAACGCCAAGAAAACGCCGTATACGGTAGATTTTTTATCAGGGGAAAATTGATTTCGCTTGGGCGGGAGGGGCGCTGAGGCCCCAAGGACCCAGTAGACGTTGAAATAAGATATAACTTGCTGCAAAAACCTGTTGGAAGTACAGTACATATAAAATTACGAGTAAATCAATACACATTTCTGTTGCAAAACATGGTCTGTTTTAGATGAATATTCGAATGTACTCAATGACATACTTCAAGTATGCGCATATTGTGGAATAAGTAGTGAACTGCTAACCAACGAGCAATTTCACTGCAAATTGATAGAAAATTTTTAAAAAACAATAAAGTGCTTAGAAATAATTCCACATTTCTGCAGCGAAAGGGAAAAAAATACTAAAGGGTAAAACGTATTAAGACTTTACAGAAAATATAAAAATTTGCCCGAAGCCGACGCGGAGATCTGTATAAAATAAATAAAATTATAATACAATAATATAATACATTATGGAGAAGATTTTTGGATGCACTTCTTGGAGCATGGTTTACGACCAACTGAGTTAGTGTAATGTAGTCACTACTCAGTAGTTTATGCTTAAATTGTGGAATACGACAGAATCTGTGCCTATATTTCACGCATGGAGGTAAATTTTTTCTAGATATGTACAGATACACTAAAAAAGCTACTTTCGTGCGAAACTACTCTAGGAGTCGCTCCACTACCAAAAGGGGGAAAAACAACAAAAACTTGTATTTTCTCGATTTTTTGCAAAATCGTTTTATGCATTTCAATGTTTAAATTACATATAAGCATGCAATTATTCTGCGTAGTGACGCTGCTTGCATCTCAACGCGTTGATTATCGTAAACTACATTAATATGCATTTCCATGTTTAAATTACTGATGTAATGTCATATGTTGCAAAAATTAGAAAGTGCTGTTCGGTTGCAATGCCTTTCAGCGCGGCTGTCTGACCAATGTGATCCATGTACTTAGACATCGGCAAGCTGAGTTCCGGATGCACTGCACACCGATACATTTTAAGAACATTAAATGCTCTGAACCACTGGTGGAAATCGCGAATCGGTTCGCTCTTTGCCGCAGATGCCTTCGACGTGGATGGTGCATGTGACATGCAGATGTTGGGCAAAAGGTCACTGAGGTTTACGAACTCTTTCTTACTGAACATTTTGTACAGTAAAGGTTTGTCAACGGGTGTCAAACAGTTCAGACTTGCAGTTTGCGCTAAAAAAACGTTATACGGGGCAAAGCTGAAGTCAAGTGTAAACATGTCTTGACATGTCGAATGTGAATGATTAAACACGTGCTATACAGCAGTGTAAGGAAATACTCTATATGGCTAGCATCATGTGTAGAATGTTGCCACGGAAACCAGCGGTGGACT